AAAACTGAGGTGGAAGCTGCAATAAAGGAAATGGCAAAAAACAAGATTACAGGAACAGATGATTCAAGGGGGTATCATAAACTTTTAATTTTCACCTTTAAAAAAATTGTCAGAAAGTTTGTCTTGATTTGTAGTTGTTAACATGTCTCTACGTAATCACCATCCAGATTTACACATTTTCCCCCAGTGTTTCTTGATCCTCCAAATACCGCTTCATGAATGGTGTCATCTGTATTGTCAAACTGGCAACCCCGCAACAGATTTTTCATTTTTTGGAATAAAAAAGAGTCACTTGGTGTGAAGTTGGAAGAGTAAGGTGGATGCTGCAAGATCTCAAAGCCACATGCCCTTGCTTTGTTAACTGCAACTTGAGATGAGTATGCTGGTACATTGTCAGCTAGGAGACAAATGCCTCTGGAGAGCATACCGCGGTGTTTCTTTTTCAGAGTATCTTGAACTTGTCCAGAAGATTGCTGTAGTATGTGCCAGTGATGGTTTGTCCCTTTGCAAGATAATCCATGAGAATGACTCCACGACAGTCCCAAAAAACTGAGATCATGACTTTCCCTGCTGATTTTTGCACCTTTGCCTTTTTGGGGGGAGGGAAATCAGCATGCTTCCTCTCCATGCTCATGGTTTTGGTCTCTAGATCATGCAGATAGATCCAAGATTCATCCATGGTTACCAGACGACCAAAAAAATCCTCTTCATCCTGTTCCAACAGTGTCAACATCTATCTTGAAAGGTCATACCGTGTTTGTTTCTGGAAAGAGGTTAGCAAACATGGAACCTAGTGTGCAGACACCTTAAACGTGTGCAGTCCATCATGAATAATTTTCCACACACTACCATTACTGAGACCAGTTTCATTCACAATCATTTGGATGGTTGCTCATCTGTCTTCCAGGATTAAACACTCCACTTTCTTCACTATGGCCACATCGTCCGTCAATTATGGTCTTCCAGGTATTGGCTTGTCTGTGAGGGACATGTGACCAGTTTGGAAATTCCTTTTCCACCTCACAATAGTGTCATAAGATGGGCAATCATTTCCATAGACTACCATCATCTCATCATGAATTTGCTGGGCACTATTACCC